CAGCAGAGGGGCACGGGGCGGTGAAGCCCTCCAGCAGAGGGGCCTGGGCGGAGCAGCCCTCCAGCAGAGGGGCATGGGGCGGAGCAGCCCTGCTAGCAGAGGGGCACGGGGCGGTGAAGCCCTCCAGCAGAGGGGCACGGGGCGGAGCAGCCTTGCCAGCAGAGGGGTCTGGGCTGAGAGGCCAGCCTTCCAGACAACTCACTGGGCAGTGCTTGGGCCTGAGGATTCTGGGAGGCGAGGGGACGGTACACCTCAGCCAGTTTATGCAGTACCCATGAGGGCTCTGGGGCGGTACCAGCTGGGATGTTCAGGGAGAGGCAAGAACTGGTGCCTCCTTATGTCCAGTGTGCTCTTACTCCCCAGCAGAGCGCGCATTCACGGCAGCTACGCAGGCCAGGGCTTTCCTGCCGAAACGATACCTGGGAGAAGACTGCACTATAGGGTGTAAGAAAGGTGCTGTAAACAGGAAGTAAATGCTACCTATCTTCCAAGAAAAGACACCCTGCATGAATCCAGATCTGTTTCAAACCGTGAAAACAGAAGCTAGGGGGTCTAGTAGAGTTTCTTGCTGCAAGGGAAATGTCAAGGAGCTCCGCTCAAAATTCCTGTTGGTGACCACCAGGAGGCCTCACAGGGTATACGGTGGCTTTCTCTGACTCTCTCAGGGCCAAGATGACAACCAATCAGAGCCAGGCTGGCGCAGCAGTTCTCAACCAGGGGAGATTCTGCCCACAGGGGATATTTGGTAGGCAGTGTCCAGAGACCCTCTGATTGTCCTGATTGTGGAGAGTGGCATCTAGCGGGTAAAAGCCAGGGGAGCTGCTAAACATCCCCAATGCCCAGGAACAGCCCCCACAGCCACGAATGACCCGGTCCAAACTCCACAGTGCTGAGGTTGGGGAACCCCGTGCTCGCTGTCTGCAAGCTGAAAACTCCCCTAGATCCCAGTCAGGACTGGACTTAGCGAGCACGTCGTCGTAAGGACACTCTTTCCTGGGTCCCTTTCAAAGAATGTGCAGCACTGAAATATGTTTATACTTAAGGCCAAATGCTTGAGAGGAATTTGTAGACAAGATTATTTATCCAGACTAAAAGCCGGTGTCAAAAGTAAGCTTCACCGAGGAATCACATTTCTGCAGGGGGAGAGCAATTCAACCCTCAGTGGACATGACGGCTCTTCACCCTTCGGTACCTGCCGTGTCAGGGCTATGACACAGAATCTCTAAGGCTCTTTTGTTTTGTTTAATCATTTTATTGGGGGCTGTTTCAGCTAGTACTGTTTTTATTCCAGGTACTTAACTTGCCTAAGAGCAAACTCACTCACTGCCATTGAGTTGATGCTGACTCATAGCAGCCCTATAGGACAGGATCAAACTGTCCCGATGGTTTCTGAGACTATACCTCTTCACGGGAGTAGAAAGCTTTTGGTATATTCAAAAGTAGAAGCAGTTGGTATATTCACACTGTTGACCTTGTGGCTCCCAGCCCAACACATATTCACTAAACCAGCAGGGCTCCTTAAAGAGGGAACATCTACAGAATTCTACAAATTGTTGTCAAAGTCTGTTTGAAAGGCTTTAAGGAGGGAACTCCGAGGGGCTGCTTTTCCTTTAAAACAGCTCACACGCTAACCCCACGTGGGCTGCTATCAGGTGGGTCAGACTCATGAGCACCCCACGCGTCACCAAACAGAACTGCACCAAAAGGCTTTCTTGGCTGATGGTTCACAAGCAGATCACCAGGCCTTGGTGCTGTTGGTGGGATTTCTGAGGTGTTGTTGGTGGGATTTGAACTGCCAACCTTAGGTTAGCAGTTGAGCTCAAGCCATTTACGTGCCCCCCACCCCACCCCCGAGCCCTTTCCAACAGAGGAATGAGAAGCCCAAGCTGCCTGCGGTCGGTCCTCAAGGTAGTACTCACGAGATCGTCTCGGGAATCTCCTCTTCCTTCTTGAAGCGGCCCGACCAGACCAGGATCTTCCTCTCCCAGTCTGTAGGCTTGTGTAACGGCACCCCATGGCTGTAGGCGTCTGTGAGAAAAAGCAGGCAGAAATCTCACTATCTGAGATTATGACTCTTAAATTTAGCAACAGAAAAGTGCTATGTGTGCTTTTAGGCTATTCAAACAGAAACGCCAAGACACTTCAAGCTAATTGGAGCTTTCTTTGACCAGAACTTCTTAGAATGTCTTCTTCCACAAGTGGCTCTAAGAGAAAGATAAGGCAGTTAGATTATAAAGGACCCTGCATGGTGGAAGGAATTCAGGCATGATTTGGCAACTACCGGACATTTGAAAGCAGAAGAGCTGCCTTCCCTTATGCAAGCAAGCAAACAAAAAAGCTTGTGAGGCCCTGGGTGCACATGTGGCGAGACCTTGGCATTAGGCGGCATGCAACTGCACTTCTAATTTTCTCATTATACAGAAATATGTATTAGTAACAGAAGCAACTTTAAGCTCAGAAGCTCTTTTACATATGGAATTATAATCGTTAGTGTGAAATACCAGGTTAAAGAGCATGAGCATTGTTAAGCTCTTGAAAACTGTCTCTGGAACTTGTTAGGGTAGCCAGCCCCTAACAAATAATCACAGGTCCGGTAGGCGCAATTGTACGGCTATAATATAGAGAGATTATACCAAATGCATACAGAATAAGAGAAATAGAAGAGAGAGTAAAATAAAGGACTCAGACATATTTCATGGTAGCATGCTCATCTCAGGCCCGCTTGGTGGTCCACGTGGGGATCAGAGACCCCAGGAGGAGAGTGAGGGAGTAGGATTTATTTCTAATCAAGGCTTATATATACTTGAGGGGGCATACAAACCCCCTGATTACAGGTAACGACCTGTCACAGGAAGGGGCTGTACCGTAGGCAATACAGCAATGGGAGGGGGATGATCTAGGTGTACCCACACTAGGAAGAGGAGGGATTAAGGGTACACATGTGACAAATGGGCGGGTCCTAGGTTCAAGATGGAGCATAACCTTAATTGTTCTTGGGCTAGAGATTTGATTTTTTTTTTTTTTGAGACTTGATTTATTCTAAGCTTTCTAGGGACAGCACTCCACTGCCCTGAACAGCAGGAAGTGGGACCCATCTGTGGTGGAAGAAACAATAATGTCTGCTTGCTCTGGGTGGCTGGTGCTCAGGGAGATAGCTTGACAATCATTTACCATTACTTGCAAGCAGTGTCCTAGGTCTGACATATATTTGTGGGAGACAAGCTGGGAAAGGCCTCGTGATATCCCACAGGAAATGGTTCTTCTTCCTTACTCCCCAAGCCCTGCCTGGTCCCAGTGTACTCCTGAGAACAGTGGCACCCGGCAGCTTATTCTCTATGAGGCCCCTTTCCCCCAGAGTGGAGACTATGGAGGGTGGTGGGAGAGGGTAAGAATGGGGGGGGTGGAGTCAGTGCTGACGCTGGAGCTCAGCCCTGGTGCGATTTCATGCAGCCATCAATGCTTGACTTTGCTCGTCTTTGGAGGCAGACCACTACTGACGGGCTCTGGGGCATCTATTTTTCTGCCCTAGTGGTGTGGTGAGTTCTGAGTTGGGCTGTTCACCCAAAGGTCAACCAGTGAACCTCACCGCTGCTCCGTGGGAATGAGGAGGCTTTCTATTCCCAGAAACCTGTGGGTCTCCACCCCTTTGGGGGCCGAATGACCCTTTCACAGGGGTGGCCTCATACGCCCTGCATATCAGATATTTACATTATGATTCATAACAGTAGCAAAATTAGTTATGAAATAATGTTATGGTTGGAGGTCACCACAACATGAGAAACTGGATGAAAGGGTCGCGGCATTGGGAAGGTTGAGAACCACTGCCGTAAAGAATTACAGGCTCGGGAACCCAGCAGGGCAGTTCTACTCTGTCTCAGGGCCGTGAGGTCAGAACTGAGTCGATGGCAGTGAATTTGGTTGTTGGATGTTGCCATAAATACTCCAGGCCACCTTGAGTAAGAGAGCTAGGACAATGACAAATGAGGACAATGACAGAAGGCCCAAGAGCTCACCGGCGGCAGTTTAGATACAACTTGGGGCCTGACCGCATGGTCGACGTGACTACCTCTCCTGAGGGTCTTTTGATTCCAGGATGTCCTATCTCTGGAAGTTGCCTCATTCAGAACTGGAAAACTTACGGGATGGAGCTTTGGGACTTTCCTGTGGTTTGGTGCAAAATCCATTCATTCTCTTCAAAGCAGTGGTTCTGGTGAGACTTAGGGACGAGGAAACATCACTTCCATACAACCTAAAGCAAGTCCCTAGAAAGAGAGAAAAAATGCTTTGAGAAAATCCTCCAAGTGAGAAATGCTTCAGGCTACGTGCTTCTAAAAATGAACTAATTTCAAAATACACAGTGCTTATATTTAAGGCTATGCGCTTATAAAAATGAACTCATTTCAAAATACACTACTATATTTAAGGCGCTATGCTTGGTGCTGTTTTAAAATATACATGTTTTGCTGGTTAGGAAAGAAAATAATTTACAACATTGACATTTTATCAGCTTTAAGTTTTGTTTTTTTTAATCATTTTATTGGGGGCTCTTACAGCTCTTATAACAATCCATTTTGTCAAACACATTTGTGTATATGGTGCCATCATCCTTTTCAAAACAGTCTTTCTACTTGAACCCTTGGTATCAGCTCAATTTTTTTCTCCCTCGTGACCCCTTGATAATTTGTAAATTATTATTTTATCTTACACTGCTGTCTCCGTTCACCCACATTTCTGTTGTTTGTCCCCCTTGAGGGGGTCGCTTATATGTCAATCATTGTGATCGGTTTTCCCTTTCTCCCCCCACATTCTCCCTACTCTCACGGGCTCACTACTCCCATTATTGTTCCTAAGCAGCTTTAGGTGTTATATAAATAATTCTCTATCGTGTCCAACATTACCAGTTCTGGTAGCAGTATTATGCACTGACACCAGGGGCTGGGAATGAAGATTAGCAACCTTTCCAAAGTCATAAACCAAGTCGCTAAATTGCTAATACTATTCTGGCAAAACCTTGGGAGTGGGCTGCAGTGGGCAGCAAGCAGGGGGCTCTAGAAAGCCTCACTCATTCCAAGTCACGTCTTCATGGAGTCATTAATTTTGTGTAATTTAACACACACACACACACACACACAGGAACTGTCTTTACATGGGAAATGTTAAATACATGTCATTACCCAGCTTTAACAATTAACCAGGCATGGCTGATATGACTGAACTGGGTTCTTCCAAAAAGCCCATGTGATGTGCTAACCTGCTAACACCTGGTGCCTGTGAACGACTGGAAGCAGCATCCTGAAAGGCTGAACTGTGAGGTCAGAGCAGAAGTACCTCTCGTTCGAGCTCATGGGGATCCTGTGTGTGTGTCAGAGTGGAACTCCACAGGCTATTTTATGACAGTGCTGAACAATCCCCACACGTACTCCAATTTTTCCCGATTCAGTAGTTTTTGTCTTCAAAGCTTATCTATTTCAACTACTTTCTCCCCTATTCTTTAAAACATACACTTATTTCTAGTATTCTCCTAAAGTCCTCTTTATCAGTAATCACGTCCCTGTTCTCCTGAGTTTGTCTCTGTGAGCTCTCCCCTTAGTGGCTGTGCTGGGGAGTACAATTAGCACCCCACCTATGGCCGGCTCCAAACCAAGACCACCCTCAGGGCCATCGAGCCCACGTGGACATGCACGGACCCTGTACTGTGCTCACGGTGACACTGATTCCACTCGAAATTCATACCAAGGCTTGGCTCTATGTAGCTCACTTCCCATTCTCCACTTTTGTTATACTATGGACAAGATAATGACATCCCCATATATTATGAGCCCAATTACATTTTTTATCATATGAATCTATCAACAGTTTTGGAATTGCTTTATGCAATTGTCTTTGAAATCAGAGAAGAGTCAAAAACAAAACAAAAATACAAGCAACATTTATACTGCTGTTTACCTACATAGTTAACCTTTACAATGCTCTTTACTTCTTTATTTGAATGAGTTAATATTTTTCACTTCAGCAGGAAAGATTTCCTTTAATATTTGTTAGTGACAAATTCTGGGGTTTTTTTTGTTTTGTTTTTTTGGAAACGTCTTAATTTTGCCTTCTTTAAACCTTTTTTGTTCAGTTGTAAATATAACATATTATGTGCCAACATTTTCCAGGTGTTTCCTTTATTTTTGGAGTTTTCCTAGAAATAGAATTGTAAGGTTCCCCCAGCCCGCACAGGGCTTGGTGAATATTATTCCACAGCCTTCTGACCTCTCTGTTTATCTTACTGACAAGCACCTGGACCTGGGAGGTCGCTCCTCGGTGCTGCCATCCAGAATCCCTGCTCCATGAGCACGCACGGAATTAGAACACGTCGAAGGGAGATCACCGAGTTTCCTTGGGACTGTTGAGTTTCTTGGATATGTAGGATGTTTTTCATCAAACTTGGGAAAAGCTCTGCCCCTTATTTTCCAAATAAAGGCCCCAAACTGTCCCTTTCCCTCCCTCGGGGATTCCTCTCATGCTGCGGTGGTATGGTTGCTGGTTCCCTGAAGTCTCTTGAGCTCTGTTCATTTTTCTTCATTTTCTTCAGATTAAATCCTCTCTAGTGTTATACAGGGTTGTCTATGAAACAAAACCAATGACGCTCATATCCGTATAAGAAACAACTTTACATTAAGAGGTACTTTTCTATGGGGAAGCATCCCAGCCCTATCCAACGCCAGTCCCTGAGCCCGAAGCCAGCTGGAGCCCTGCACTCACGAGCCGAAGGCAGAGCCGGCAAGAGGGAGGTGCAGGCAGGTGAGTGAGAGTCGCATGGAGCTGAGCGTGGGGGGCGGCACAGTGGCAATAGCTGGGAGGTGGGTTTCTAGGGTCAGCAGCCCACTACGAAGATCTCATTGTCTAGCTTTTCCCTTAATGTTTTTTTATCAGCTTCCCATTTGCCTCAAGCGATGTTAAATGCAGCTGAGTGTCTTCACCACGTGCCCTGCGAACTTGTTCACATGGGTGAAGTAAACCGAGTTGGAGGAAATAAAGGCAAACCACACATGCGGGCGTTTCTAAGAAGCTGCCAGCTGGGCAAAGAGCGACACTTCCCTGAGGCTTTGGGGGGACTCCAAATATGTTCATTACCTCTTGGCTGACTAGTTTTTACGGCAACTGTGTGCGGTGTGCAGGAGCTTTCTACTCCCTTCAAGAGTTGCAGTCTTAGGCACTCGCAGGGGGCAGTCAGTCATCCCCTGTCGTTTAGGGTCGCTGTAAGTCAGCACCGGCTCCATGGCAGTGAGTTGTTGCTTTGGCTTGCTTGGGTGTGGGAAACAGAAAGATTTCTCCCAAGTTGTCTCCCCCAAATAGATGCCAAACTTAGCTGCTTGCTACGCGTGGCAGGTGACTGTACACTTGGAGGACAACAGAAGTAGGTCAGGGGTTATTCTCCCTAAGGGTTATCAACCATCCAGAGCAAGCAGACACCACAGTTTATCCCACAAGTAGGACCCACTCCCTTCTGATAAGGATAGTAGTGAATTGTTTCCTTGTCAGAGAACTCGGGAGGTCAAGAGCACTCAAGGGTGACCAAGGTTAGGTCGCCATCATGAATCTAGGATCTGCCCTTCTTGTCACATGTACACCCAAGCTCATCCCCTTCCTGTTGACACTTATGCCCATTGTACATCCCCTTCCTATGATGTGTATGCCTATTATACTGCCCCTTCCTGTGATATGTGTGGTTACCTGTAATCACACCCCCTAAAAAGACAGATAAGCCTTGGTTAGCAATAAATCTGGCTCTTGCTCGCCCTCTCCCCAGCCCTCTCTGCCCGTGCTGCGCGTGGACCTGGCTGTTGAGATCATGGCCGTCCAGGAGGTGAGCATGCTACCATGAAGTGTGTCTGACTCCTTCATTTCACTTTCTCTCCTCTCTCTCATGCTCTGTGACTCGACGGGTGCTGAGGGGAGAAAGACAAGGCTTTCTACTTGCCTAAAAAGAGTTCCAGTCTCAGAAACCCAGCTGGGCTGTGCTGCCCTGTCCCAGAGGTGCTAGGAGTTGAGAACGGACCCGATGGCCTTGAGTCCAGGCTTTGGTTGGTGGTGCCGAGGAGGAGGAGACAGTCAGCCTGGTTTTGAGACCACAAGGTCTGCTGTTCTTACCAAGACCATTGTTTTCTTAGACACAATGCTCCTCCGATTGTGAGCCTCTTGTTCTTCTTCAGAGTTCGCGGTGGGGGGGTGGGGAGTGCAGTGTTGGCAGCAGGTTGACTGCTCCAGGAAAGAACGGGCTGTGTTTAAGGAGGAATGGATGTCCAGAGGCCCTTCCTCTAAGAAAATAGAAGTTGGAACTTCTCTTTGTACAGAGATTTGGGGTTTGGCTTCCATCATAGGTTGTTTCATTAATTCTGACCTTTTTACTTCTATTATCAGGTGGTGCATTGACTGAAACATTGGCTGCTGAGAGGTTGGTGGTTCAAACTCACCAGTTGCTCCTTGGGAGCAAGATGAGGTAGTTCACTTCCAAAAAGATTTACCACCGCGTATGCCCTGGGGAGTTCCACTTTGTGCTACAGAGCTGCTAAGAGCTGGAACCAACTCAGGGTCTGTGGGCTCCGGACTCAGTTTGTGTGGATCTGGCCACTGCCACCCAGTGGGAGTCAGTGTACAGCATCAAGAAGGGAGGGAAAGGACAGCGCCTGTCGCTTGTTTCCTCATCTTCAGGGACTGCCGCGGCAAGGACTTCCCAGCGGTGACTGAGGAACACGGCGGAAGCAAACAGGAGAGCAGCTGGCTATATGCCTGAGACACAGCAGGCACTGCGGATGTTCCGCTCATCTGTGAAGAGCTATTCAAGATGTTCATCTTTTACACCTCTCGGAGGCCAGTGACGTAGGTATGGGGACAGTCTATGAAGCTTCCCAATACTTTGACGTAGCTCCCAAGATTAAGACAAAATCTCGATGCTGGGTTCCCAAACTGAATCACCTAAATAAAAAATAAAAATCAAACTCACTGTTCCGAGTTCCTTCTGACTTCCAGCGACCCCAGAGGGCAGAGCAGAATTGCCCCTGGGGGTTTCCCAGGCTCCAAATCTGCATGGAAGCAGACTGCCCCATCTTCCTCCCTAACCCACTGCACCACCAGGGAGCCTTAGAACTACCCCACCAACATGGGTCGTTAAAAGAGTCACTATCTCCTCCTGCTCCTCCCCACCCCACCCTCAGCTCCTGAGGTTCTGAATCAGTAATTCTGAAGTGCAGACATTTCCAACACGTTCTTACACAGT